GACCAATTGTCCTGGAGGAAGTTGTTTCCTGAATTTCATAATTCCTGAATTTCACAATGCTCATGCGAAAAAATTAATTGATAGTCCAAGAATTTTATCATGTGTTGTACAAATATCAAATTAAATTTAAACATTGGTATGTATAGTACATCATAAATACACATAAAAGATCAAAAGTTCTAACCGTACTAGCATAACGAGCAATAACATGAGTTATTTGATAATTTAATACGTATAGGATCAATCTTATGAAAACTAACAAAACAGCAAGTATCATAGGTTATATGATTAGTTGCTCTAGAACCAGGAATCCAATAATGTGTATTGTGTTTATATGGATTAGTGGATGACTAACCAACGAAGCTATTGACCTTTTAGATAAAGGCACCCATGGACTCTTGTAAAAGGTTGAGAATTTGTTTCATTTACTCTTGAGTAAATTGAACATTATCTTGATTATGATCATGTTGATTTTCTTGCACAATTTTTCCAATTTTTTCAAAGTCACAAGAGTTTCTATTAGTGCTGATGTTGTTCGTGACATGTTCAATTTTATATTTATACCATGGTAGAAAACCATGTTTGGAATAACACTCATCAATTATGTGATTCATTTTGTGACAATAGACAATAGCTACACTATTTTCCTTTATTAGGATTGTGACCTCTTCGCTTACCTTGTGTTCTCCAACTACTGTGTTTCCCTTACCTTGTTGCTTCCCGTTATTTTGGATATTTGTGGCATTGATGAGAGCTTATTATCAATCAAAGATTCTCTAATAAGTTGTCTTTCTTGTTGAAGGACGAGGGAAAACACACTATTTATCTAGGGTAATGGTTCCATGAACAAAATTTGTGTATTTATGATAGTATATGTCACTGAGACACTTTAAAAAATAAATCACATATTCAGATTCTTTATGTTTAGTCATAATCTTCACAAGATTACAGTTATATCTAATTTCACAAACACACATAGGGATAGGTTTTAACGATTCAACCTCTTCCCCAAAAAACCTTTTGAGTTACTAAAGAAATTAGACACGGTCTTTCTCCTTGTCGAATGTATGTATCTCATATAAGAGATTAAAAATTATAAAATAATCTCATTTTGAAAAATTTCCCTTCAAATCATCCCAAAACTCTTTAGCTATAGAAAGCAATGACATGACGCGGTGGAGTGATTCTTCCACAAGGATCATTCTAATTATTTTTTTTTTTTATGTTGTTTTGTAAATAAAGAAAAAGGTTATTTAAAAAAGAAACTTAATTTAAAGTAATAATCAGCACAAAAAAATCACACCAATTTAAATATAATTTTAATTTTTTTAATATTACAATACATACAAAATAAATTTCTTCCTATAATATTTTTTTTCAAATCTAATTTTTGGTTTCTATATCCTCACTGTTGAATTAGTTATCTAGTTTTAAAAATATGTAATTTTTTTTTACTAAAACTTTATATTTAGACTTTTTTATTCTACTATTATTATTTACAAAGATAATAAGTAATTAAATTTATATATTTTTTAAAAGTTAAAAACTAATTTATCAATTTGAAAAATTTTAAATATTAGAATCAGATTAAAAAAATACATGGAAAAAAAATGTTGTCAACACTAAATTGTGAATTTATAATGATGATAGACATTTTCGGTTTTAATTTTTCTTTAGATGTTTGTGTAGATGTGACAACGAATTTCACTTTATATTCATATCATAATTGAAGTTTTACCCCTCAATATTGCATACTCTAATTTTCTAATTAATGTCCTTCTTCTATATTTTATTTTATGTTTATTTAGGAAAAATATAACGAAACTCAACGTGTCTTTATTTCTTCTAGTATATTAGAACAAATATTCTGAAATAAAGTCTTCTTATAACAACTATTTTTTAACAAAAAGTATTTTTACCTTTTTTTTATCAAGTGTTTTTTTAATATATTTTCTCATTTTTTTCAACATAGTATTTCTTTTATTTTTGTTTGATTAAATTTCAATATGTTTTAATTATTTATTAATAATTAAAAATAACTATACCATAATATAAATTATTTATTACAAGTATAATATAAATTTTATATGATAGAAATATTTATTAATTATAATTTTAAATTATTATATAATTTATACATTCAAATATTTATTTACAGTAAATTTTAATTATATAAATTAAATGTTTATTATGTACATGAAACAAACTTAACACATTAGTATAATCTCACTTAATTTCGAACAAAAACATTTAAAAAAAATTGCTTAAAGTAATTTGAAAAATATATATATCATGTTAATATAGATCATAATTACTCAAAACATGTTTGAATTATTTATATTCATCAATTTTAATAGATTTATTTTAAAATAATATATTTATTTAAAATTATTAAAATTACTTTACTTACTATTTTATTATCTTTTATTTATTATAATATTATATATAAATTATTATTTTTTACGTTATATATTAGTTGTTTTTTTAAGTCTATTATTGTCTTTCAGATTTTATACAAGAAAATTCAATTATCTAATAAATTTTATTTTATTATTCATTCTTAAATACATTATTGATTTAAACGGAATACATTTGGTCTATATTATTTTCAAATAAATTACTTTTAATTATCTTAAAGTTACAATTTAGAATCTATTTATTAGTCTCTTCAAACTGATTCTCACTCTATAAGCACTTCTGATCCGATAAGAACAACAGTTAATTTAAAATGTATTCCAAACATCATGTAACTCATTCCCAAAATCTTAAACTATAAACATAATTCTCTAATAAGTAATGCAACATAAAATTTACAGAAAATTCATAAGAAATAAAGTATTATTAAAAAATATATATAAAAGAGTATAAACTCCAATAAAATTGGCAATTTATCGTCCGCTCATGAACTTGAATCTTCTCCATCTTAAACATAATATTCTTGCTTCCCAGTTTACAAACTTGAAAACAATTTATTTATTTATTGTTAAAAAAGTATAGAAAGTGATACGCCCTAATCTGATATATGTATTTTTCTTATTAAAGAGTTACTGTAACACATTGTGGCTATCAAAGAAAACCGAATTTTTGGATAGATTTTCATCCACGATCAAAAGAGAAATTTTATTTTCATGCAAAATATTTGATACTTCAATCACAACTGGGCATGGTAACGAGGCGGAGTGGGTGTAGGTTTTGTCTCCCGATCCTCGTCCCTAACTTTTTAACTATCCTTGTCCCCGTCTCCATCCCCGTCATGGTTAACTATCCTCGTTCCTGCTGAATTTTGGGTTTCACGCCTCCGTCCCGTCTTTGATCTATATTATTTTTAAAACGATAATTACATTTATAATAAATTAATTTTACAATCTATTTTTATATATAAATAAATATTTATAATTTATAATTATTATTAATTAAATATACATTTTAATTTATTATATTTATATTAAAATATGTATGTAAAAGAAATATTTAACCATTTTTTATTTATAACATTATCATTATTATTATTATTATTATTATTATTATTATTATTCAAATATTTATAACATTATTATTATAAAACTGTATTCAAACATTTGATTATATATATAAGTTAATTCATTTTTAAGTTGTTATTTAAAAATATGAAATATATAGTTTATAAAAAAATATTTAATAAGTTAATTCTTGTTTAATTAATTCGAAATAATAAAAGTTTAAATTATCAATTCTTTTTAATCCTTTAATTACAATTATTTTATTAAGATAAAATTTGATATATGATAAATAAGAATAATAAGATTAAAAAATATGACATAATAAAACTTAATAAATATAAATTATAAATAAAATAATATTAGTTACTACTAAGATTTATGTAAAATATTAAAAAGAAAAAGAAAAAAAATTAATTTTGTGTTCATCAAATTGGTTGAAAAGATTGAAAAAAAAATTGATATGAGAGATTAAGGAAATGTGAAAAACTGAAAGGTAAGAGAGAATAATATAATAAATTAATTGATATAAAATATTAAAAAAGACAAAAAAATTAAAAAATGAGTAGAAGAAAAATAAAAATTAGTGAAATATAAAAAAAATGACCTTATATGTAATAGAAAAAGAAAAGAAAATATTTTTACAATATTAATATTTTAAAATTTAAATTTAAATATAAAGTCGGGGCGGGAACGGGGTGGAGATTACATTACCCATCCCCGCCCCGACTTTTTAAAGCGGGGAAAACCCAAACTCGCTCCCGCCCCTGATCAACTCAGGTTTTTCCTGTCAAACTCAGAGCGGGGACATGTCAGTTCTAATGGATACGGATTTAATTTTCATCCCTAATCACAACCGGGCAGCAAGACAAAAAAAAATAATATGCTATCAATATTCTGAGTAGATTTTAAAAGGTTACCAAACTCCTTAAAAGAAAAACAAAACCTAAGGCATCATAAGATTAATGCTAACCATAGAGCTTCGAAAGATTGTAGGTCTCAGATTTCTTGCAGCCAATGGAAAAATATGCCGGCACCCCAAATCCAATAGTTTAGTGTGTCTAAATTTCGATTTGAGTTTAAAATTAACGTGTCTCGTTTTATTCGTTTGGGGAATTTATTCAATCTATCACCAATGGAATATGATGTTATGCCAAGCATATTTTAGTTTCTCAGTCTCTACTTTTTTTTCTTCTCTTTTCTATCACTTTATTTATTACACTTTTCACTTTTTCTTTTTATCCTTCTTGTCGATCTCCTTTATATTCTTAAATGTGAATATATTGAAAATGTAATAATAATAACATAAACCTCAAATTTTTAGTGTTTCCACAAACACACGCTCTTAGGTTGAAACAAGAAAACCGCATTTTACCAAATTCAAATGGTGCAAAACCTTCCACATGTTACGTTGCCCTATTCTGTCTAGTAATCGACCTTACGTTACGTGCATGCACTTAAACCAACAACTTACGATTAAATATTCCATTGTTTCCTTAAACAAATCAAAGAAGAAGAAGAAAAATGTCTGCATTCGACCCTTACAAACACCTTGGCATCACTAAGAACCCCGACGGCACCATCACACGCTCCTACAAAGTCCCAACGATCGATGCCAAGCCTGAGCCCTCACCGGGAATCAAAGTGGTTTCCAAAGACATAACCATCGACAACGAAAAGAAAACCTGGGTTCGAATTTTCCGACCCACGAAGCTCCCTTCCAATGACAACACGGTGGCGCGGTTGCCCATCGTCGTTTACTTCCACAATGGCGGATTTGTCTACCTCAGCCCGGACTACCCCTACAGCATGCGTACATGCGAGACCATCGCCGATGACATCCCCGCTATCGTCGTCGGCCCCTCTTTCCGCCTTGCGCCGGAGTTTCGTCTCCCGACACAGTACCACGACGCGAACAACGCCGTTTTGTGGATTCGGCACCAGTTGAATGACCCCAATGGAGAACCATGGTTAAGAGATTATGGGGACCCTTCCAGATGCTACTTATTTGGCTGCGATTGTGGTGGCAATATCGCCTTCCACATTGCCATGCAGGTTTTTTCTCCAAATAAATTTATTAAAGCTTCAATTTTTTGTTCCCAGAGTTTCCTGTCTGAAATTTTGATCTTTATAATTAGAAATAGGAAATCTTTCTAATGATTTCTTGTATTGAATACATATATGCATACAAAATAATGAAATGTTTTCACGTAGATGGCTGACTTGGATTTAAAGCCATTAAGGATTCGTGGATTGATCCTGAACCAACCCATGTTTGGAGGGGAGAAGAGGACAGCATCAGAGCTGAAGTTTGCAACAGATCAATTATTACCTTTACCAGTGTTGGACTTGATGTGGCATTTGGCTTTGCCTACAGAAACAGATCGTGACCATAGGTATTGCAACCCTATGGTGAAGGGACCACACTTTGAGAATGTTAAGAAGATAGGGAGGTGTCTTGTTATAGGGTATAATGGGGACATCATGGTGGATCGACAACAAGAGTTTGTGACCATGTTGGTCAAATGTGGTGTGCAAGTGGAAGCACGTTTTGACGAAGTGGGGTTCCATAGTATTGACATGGTGGATGCTACTAGGGCTAGCGCAGTTATAAATATTGCCAAGGACTTCATTCTTGGTTGAGTTACTTCAATTGTAACTTTTTTGGGTTCATATAATTTGAAAACTTTAAGAAATGTTTGTAGTGATTCTGAATTTCTTAACCATGTCATCTATGCACTTGTACGTTAACGGTATATGAGTTATGTCAGACTTTTCTTTTAAATATCTTGATTATCATTCATAAATTGTGCATTTTAATGTCTATCGTCTCATGTATAAAGCTTACATGTCAAGCACACCTTTTTTTTCTTTTTTCACCTAAACCATTAAAATTTACAAGTTTGTTATGTGATAGTGATACCATACACAAATAATTATCTACTCAATTTTATATTCAATTTAAATCTTACAAGGTATATAGAAATTTAAATTCTAATACGTGACTCTTGAGAGGAAATAAACTCTTAAAAATGCATTGCCAATTAAAAGATAATTTTTTAAAAATTAATTATTACATAAAGAATTGTTTACATTCAAGTACGAAGAAGAGAGATAGGAAAATTAACATAAAAGACTCGAGCAAAATATTGTGCCTATGCATGTAAAAAATAAAAAATAAAGCATGTTTTTATATAATAAAATAATAAATATTTATATTTAATATTGTAATATTTAATCACTGACTTTAGTCCTTCTTCGGTCCCAGTGATCTATTCTCTAATGAGAGTTATTAATATTATTATCACTTTCTACAAATTCATCCATTAACATCTTCATCGTAAGACTAAAAAATTGTATAGTACTTAATCATTAACCTCAATTTTTTCTTGATCTCTTATGTGATCACGAGGTTTCAATAGACAAATGTACATAATATTAGATTATAAGAATAAATTAATTCATAACAAAATCTTTAAGATTATATGTAAGGCAAGTTTTTACTTACTTGGAAGTTCGTGCAATGTTTTGATATACGTGAGAATAAGTAAAATGTTTCTTACTACATAAAAAAAAAAGTAAAAAAAATAAATCAAAGGGACCATGTCCTTTTAAGCATATCTTTATCATCTTCAAACATTCTCAACCAATCTGGAATCAATAATCTTAGAGCAAAATTCTAACCATAACAACCAACTCATTTATGTGATCCTCCTTAACGCAATCGACTATGTACACACTACAAAAAAATATGTTATTTATAGCGGTTAAAATTGTAGATTTTAGAAGTTAAAAACCGCTACAAATAAAATTTGTAACAATTAATATAACTGTCATATTTATAGATGTCAAAAACGATTTGTAACAGAATTTTTTTAAATGCTGGTATTTATGTCAAAAAAAAAACAAAAATTTCAACAGTTAAAAACCGCCATAAAATACATTATTATTCTCATTTTAATTTAACATTTTGTTGCAATTTGAAATTGTTACAAATGTTATTTTTATAATTAATTTTATATTTCAACAATTAAAAACAGCTACAAAATATATAATATTTTATAATTATTTAAAACTTATTGGAGGTTTAAAAAACCACCAAAAATTATTTAATTACTATTTTTTAATTATTTTATCAATAAATCAAAATTTTAATTATTATTTACAAATTATTTTTTAATTATTTTATAATTAATAATTAAAATACTTTTTTATTTAGAATTACTTTAAAATACCACCATAAGTGTAATAATAATTTAATCATTATAATAAAATCAATAATCTAATGAAATGTATAATATATTTTTCATTTGTTTTAATGACATAAAATATTAGTTTGATTCTCACTAAAAAATGGTTAAATTTGTAGTTTTTAGATATAATTCACTTTGACAGAGTACTTAGTTAAATATAATTCAATATCAACTAAGATAAAATCAAATTTCATCCTAAAAGTCCAATAAAATTCATCACATTATTCATTAATAAAGTGTATCTAACAAAATACGATGTCAATAGATCCACAAATTTCATAACATATATGTCAAACTTAATGAAAATTACTATCTAATGAGTATCCTCCTATGATATTGACATATTTCATTCACTTGCTTCATCCTGTGAAATAAAAATAATATCATCTTAATATAGTTAAAAATATATATAAAAAATATTAAACTCCATAGAAATAATTAACAACATAATTCTATTAACACAAAATATGAAATACTTACAAATAATGTCAAACTTTATGAAAATTACTATCTAAAGAAGATTCTCCTTGTGGTGTTGACATATCTTGTCCACTCTCTTCATCCTATAAAATAAAGATCATATCATGTAAGCATAATTAGAAATTATACATAAGATATTGAACTTTATACAGGTATTGAATAATATAATTTCATTTAAAACAAACTATAAAGTACTTACAACTATATTACTTGTACTACCAAACATGACACCCAACTCAGGAGGAATGTGTCCTTCTTTCATTTGGATGTATGCAAGCATGACACTTTTTAATGTTTTGACATTTTCTTCAGAAGTTGCTAATTTTTCTCTTAAATGAATAACTTTCTCTTTCAATTGAGAATTTCCACTTGAATCAGAATTTGAGAGATTGCACCTCGCACTCGCTAAATCTTGTGGTAGACTGAAATGCAACACTATGAAGACCTCCTAGTCCTAGACAACGTACACGCCCAGGATGATCCTTTCCCAAGCACTTTACTAACACAATCATTAGCTGAAATTTCTGTAAAATTGACATTTTGACTCATTTCTTGTGTTATTTTCTCCCGTAAATAGAATAAATACAATTGTTTGATATTCATATTAATATTATACAAAGGAGGTTTTCAACAATAACATCAGTTTGACCACACTAAATAATACAACTTAAACACAAACATTCTATATGTTTATGATTTATGATATGATTCTGGGTAAAAATATAGAAACCGAAACAAGACAAAGTTTACCCCATACGTCGTTGAAATATATGGTTGGAAATTGGAATCCTAGATGCAAAGCTTCAAAACCATAAGGCATATGTATAGAAAGAATATAATTTCACATGTTTAAACACATTACTTGTTGTTAAACTTACCACTATAGATCTTGCCTCCTCGTTAACATAAGATCCATTTTTTTCTTGTGAGTTGCAATGTACAATTCTCCTCGGCCTACAAGCACGTCCAAGATTTATTTCCTATAATATACATGATCATATAAGTTTAGAAGAATACTATAATTTTTTTTGTTAAATTTAACAATAAAACAAAAATAATTTACCATTTCATGTTGCTTTGTAGATAAAAGTTTTGCACCATCGGTATGAGGAATCTTTTGTTTTTTTCTGACTTCAATATTTCTCTTACATAATTCCTATGAAACAAACAACTTATTAATTCAAAACCAAGTTTAAAAAATAATTATTGATAACAATTATTTGTTATAACTACCTTATATTTTGAACTTAGATGATAATCAACAAATGAAGACCACTGATCTTTGTGAATACCATTAGGAACATTAGCAATTAATTGCTCTCTTGATAATGAGCTATCATAGACTCGGTTCCACAAATTCATCTTTCCATTTCTATACTTATTTGACATGCAAAGTGAACAATATCGCTCAACAGATTTTTCTGATGTCTGGAAATGAAATATATTCTAAAAAAAAAGGTAATTAGTATATCATAAACCTTAACAAGAACAAAGCTGTAAATCTTGGTTTATGCATATACCTTTAAAGTGTTAAAACAATCATCCTTATATGATTTTGGAACACTTGGCCAGCTACCAAAATTTATTGGAACATTATTTGAATCTTTAACAATACGACCACAAGCTGATGAAAGAAGTGAAGCTGCTTCTCCATAGGCTCTCAATTGTCTATCAAATGGCACAATTATACGTTCACCACGGGGCATCTCAAACACACTTGGTTTTGTCATTTAAACTATTTTTGTATTTCCTTGTTCATCTATAAAAGAGTGACATAATTAGCTGAATGATAACAACTAAAAATGAAACTAAAATATACTTAGTCTAAAATAAATTAAAATCATTACCTATAACATTGACAGTCCATACTCTACTAGACTCGCGTCCTACACATGATTGTTGAGTAGTATCCATAGAAGGAGCCACAGGAGGGGGGATATGTGGCAATGTAGACATAGGTGGTGGAATGTGTGGTTGTGGACTAGGAGCCGCAGGAGGGGGGATATGTGGCAATGTAGACATAGGTGGTGGAATGTGTGGTTGTGGACTAGGAGCCACAGGAGGGGGGATATGTGGCAATGTAGACATAGGTGGTGGAATGTGTGGTTGTGGACTAGGAGCCACAGGAGGGGGGATATGTGGAAATGTAGACATAGGTGGTGGAATGTGTCGTTGTGGACTAGGAGCCACAGGAGGGGGGATATGTGGCAATGTAGACATAGGTGGTGGAATGTGTGGTTGTGGACTAGGAGCCACAGGAGGGGGGATATGTGGCAATGTAGATATAGGTGGTGGAATAATTTGTGGAGTAGGAGTCATAGAAGGGGGAATATGTGACAATATAGACATAGATGGGGGAATAGGTTTTGGAGTAGGAGCTATAGAAGGGGGAATATGTGGCAATGTAGACATAGGTGGTGGAATAGATTGTTGAGTGGAAGGCATAAGAGGAGGAATGTGTTTTTTTCTTTTTTTAAAACATTTGGCTTTAGGAGACATGATTATTTAAACTAAAGAACAATATAAACAACTGCAATATAAAATAAATGAGAAGTTATATTATAACAATACAATTACAACAATATTTGGAATAGAACAATAATATATGTGTATGATTTAAAATAAATAGAAAAACATGATTTATGAATGAACTAACTTACCATGATATTTCTCAATTATTCAAACATATTTGTATTTTCTTGAAGGGAATTTTCAACATGACTTAAAATAAAAAATTCATTATCTACATCATCCCTTCCCAATGTTATTATCTCTGATTCATTTGTAAATATATTGCTTAAATCTTGCTCATGGAATGATTCACTTTCAAGTGTAATATCTTCTCCAACTTCTCCCATATCATACAAATCCCTTGGCATCATATGAACTACAACACTCCAACCTTTATTTACTTCATCATCAACATAATACACCATTTGTGCTTGTGAAGCTTCAATATATGGGCCATGCTCTTCACGTTCACCTGTGTGAATACACTGAGAAAAATTTACTGAAGTAAATTGCCAAGCATCCTTTCTAAATCCTCTTGAATGTGTAGTATCTGCCCACTTGCATCTAAAAAGGACAACTCTAAGAAAATTGTACTAGTTAAGTTCAATTATGTCTTCTAACTTCCCATAATATGGCAAATTTGCTCGTCTCAAATTTCCATCAGCATTGCTTGCAACACATGATGTATTTGAAGTTAGAAAAATTCCACTATTTTGTGTTTTTAAACCTTCATCTCGTCCAATGGTTCTAAACTTGTACCCATTAATGTTATATGCAATGTATCTTTTTGCAATTGTCATTGGTCCTTTAGCCAAATACTTTATTTCATCTGGAATGACATCTGTAATGTCTGGATTTGTAACCTAAATATAAAATATCATTAGTCATAAATATAAATTATAAATAATTTTTATGCAGTATATGTTTAAACTTACCCGCTGACGAAACCAATTTGCAAATTCTTTACTAACTATCTTTTCTAACTCTGTATTTGAAAGCCTTCGATTTCTTGTCTTCCTCTTTGTGAATGTTTTAAATTCACTACCACAAAAGAATATAATGTTAAATTTAATTCATGAGAAGAATATTGCTTTCACCACATATGAGATATCTAAATACTTACTCAACGTATGGTTGGACTTGTGAACAATTTAGAAGCAAATACCGATGTGCTTGTATTTTTTCTAATGGTGTAAGAGTGAAAGTTGATGAACTTCCCACCGGTCTACCTATTTGAGGATAAATGATTTGAAAATGTTCACTATCATTAGGATGGTCATCAACACGTCGACTTCTATTCAACCTTGACTCAACTTCTTCATATAATGAGTAAAAATTTAGAGTCTCTTCAGCTAAATAAATTTCACTTATAGATCCTTCAGGTTGTGCTCTATTCCGTACAAAGGACTTCAAATGTCCTAACATCCTATAAAAAATAAAACAGTAATTAATATCTTCTTCAAAATAAGTGATTTAAACATAATAACAAACATTTACCTCTCAATTGGATACATCCAACGATAATAGACAGGTCCTCCTAGTTTCACTTCTTCAACAAGATGACAAGTTAAATGGACCATCACAGTGAAAAATGATGGAGGCAAAAGGATTTCCAAATGGCAAAGAGTAAGCACAATTCGATGTTGTAGTTTGTCAAGATCTGAGACATTTAATCTTTTACAACATAATTCCTTAAAAAATGAGCAAAACTCTACCAACACTGCAATCACATGATCAGGTAAAACATTACGTATAACTATTGGAAGTAAATGTTGCATAAGGATATGACAATCATGACTCTTGAGTCCAAATATTCTAGAGTTTTCATCATCAATGCAACGAGATATGTTACTTGAGTAACCATCTGGCATTTTTACATTCTTTAATGCAGTGAGAAATATCTTTCTTTGATCTCTTGTCATTGTAAATAATAAAGGAATATATTTTCCATTTTCATCTGGCCAAAGATCTTCCTTTATCCCCATATCTTGTAGATCTTGACGAGCTTGTAGATGATCTTTTGATTTTTCTCCTTTGAGCATAGTATACAACACATTATCACACACATTCTTTTCAATATGCATGACATCAAGGTTATGTCGTAATAGATTATCCCTCCAATAAGGAAGATTGAAAAATATGCTTTTTTTCTTCCATTGGTTCCCTCTACTATTTGACTAAAGATTACTATCAAAGGTTCTGGCATCAAGTTGTTTCATGATTTCTAACCCAGATAATGATTTTGGTGCTCCCCTTTCCTCAATTGTTCCATCAAAGTGTTTCTTCATCAATCTAAATTTATGACTCCTTTCTAAAAATCTTCGATGACCCATGAAACACCATTTGTTACTACGTCTTAGTCGGCAAGGTGCTGTATCAAAATTACAAGTTGGGCAAGCATAACCAGTATAAGTATTCCACCCAGATAAAGTACAAAGTCCAGGAAAATCACTAATTGTCCACATGAGAGCCACTCGCATTATGAACACTTCTTTCAAAAAAGCATCATAAGTTTCTGCACCTTCTGTCCATAACTCATTCAACTCTTTTATTAGAGGTTGTAGATACACATCTATCTTATTTCCTGGCATTTTTTTTCCTGGGATGATCATAGAAAGAATAAAAGAAGATTGTTTCATACACTCCCAAGGAGGTCGATTGTATGGAATTAGAATCACTGGCCATATACTATGGCTATTATTCATGGTTCGATATGGATTAAAGCCATCAGTTGCAAGGCCAAGACGAACATTTCTAGGTTCTAAAGCAAACTCAGGGTGAAGTTGATCAAAACTCTTCCATGCTTTAGCATCTCTAGGATGCCTCAATAGTCCATCCTGATTATTGTTTAAAACATGTCATCTCATGGACTTCGCTGTTTTTGGGCACATAAATAATCTTTGCAGCCTTGGTTTCAAGGGGAAGTATCGTAAGACCTTTGTTGGTATTTTCTTTTTGCTACTAGTACCCTTTTCTTTCCATCTAGATTTCTTACAATATTTACAACTCTCCAATTTTTCATCTTCTCCCCAATACAACATGCAATTTTTTTGGCAAACATCTATCTTGGTATAATTAAGACCAAGCTTATAAATCACCTTCTTTGCCTCATAAAATGAAGTAGGAAATTTTGCATATGAAAATGCATCTGCCAATAACTCTAAAATCATCGTCATAGCCTTATCAGTCATACCACACAAACATTTTATATGATACAACCTTAATAGAAAAGACAACTTCGAAAATTTTTTGCACCCTTCATATAACTCTTGGTTGCAATCTCTAAGCAAATCATCATACTCTTCACATTCTTCACTGGGCATGGTTTCTACAAACTCAACTTGTTCATCACACATGTTAGACTCTACATCATGTTGTCTATTCCTCCCAAATGCATCATTTATCATATCTATCATTGGATTTCCATTTTGTAATGACACATTTACTACTTCATTGTCCCTTGATGCTATTGTTTCATATGTCTCCCCATGCCAAATCCATACTTTATAATTTGTTGGAAATTGCTTGCAAATCAAGTGGTCAAACACATCTTCTCTAGTTTCCCATTTGTCATAGTGACATTTAGGACATGGACAAATTATTGCACCATTGACAGATCGATTCTCAAATGCAAAATCTAAAAATCTATTCAGTCCATCCAAATATTCAATTATATTCCGTGGCATGTCAATCCATGATTTATCCATTTTTATATCTGTCCAACGAAGTAAGAAAAACATAAGTTGCAAAATATTTTCTATATCCTTGATGTACATAATAAACTAAGGTATAGAAGAGACATTAATACTCCTAAAATTCAAGAGTTTCCCGCTATGTCGTACTCTCAAATCCACAAAGCAGAACCTTACATAACTCGAGAATCCCTGTCAGTCCTATTAAGTAAGCACACTTCAACTATAATTATGTTATGTTTTGTATAAATTGATAGAGTTTTGTATAAATTGAAGAATATATTGATAACATGAATATATTCTACGAAAACTGAAGAATATATTCTACGAAAACTCATTGAAATGCTACCGGAAAATTTCACTATCAAGCATGGTTTTAAAATACGGTTAATGTTCATTAATTAAATGGGGGATGGAGGAGGGGAGACTGCCAATAAAAGAAAAAATTAGACTTCAACCAAGCCTGTCTTTTGTTTTAGTTTTTTACCGACCAAGGTCAAAAAATCTGTGTTTCAAGCATTATTTTCAAATCTTCAAGTAATAGCAAACTTAGGCCCCAATAAACTATAAAATGCAAGAAAGTGAAATGCATAAACTAAGCAAGTACATCAATGTACAAGCGAGCTGTATTGAGGATTTCATCACATGAAACAGCAAACACCTCATAAATAAAAAAATATACAATTTATAGGTAACAAACAGATGCATGTAGTAAAAAATGAGCACGGTTAAGCTAAATACCTGTAGTGCTCTGCTCTGTAGTGGCCTAGGTGCAAATGGAAGGGAATGCAAAAGCACTAACAAAAGTTGTGAATGCTCAAAGCGATGACCAGAATCATAAAAGTTTAGCCCATCCTCGGAAGAAGAGGCATTAATCTGAAATGGAAAGAAAATGAAGGAAACATGAAAACATTAGCAAATGACAAGAGTATTACCATTTAGCAACTTGATCACCTAATCACAATTTTAAACATGTTTAACCAAACATTCAAAGAGACTTGACGACTTCTATGTTATTCTTTTGTTTGCATTGTGTCATGGTTAATGAGAGGAAACTTTACACTAATATTAGCAAATCTCCTTCTCCCATCAACTGGTACGTTTCCTTTTCTTAAAAGAATTAAAAAGAAAAATTCGTCAGTTGATAATAAAGGACACCCCCAACAAAAGATCAAGTATTGAGAAATTAATTCAAGATTCTAGAACGGTCACTATCACAAAAACATGGGAGTTAAAAATTTGCAGACAAAAATGTGAAACAAACAAGACCAAAGAATTTTGAAAAATGACATGCATGACTGAAGCAACAATATGAAAGTGACAATAAATTCCATTAACACAGAACTGTGACATGTAATGAGTCAACCTCTTTAGTTCTTCACATAGAAATGTAGAATGTATAATAATTTAATATCTTGATAATGCTTCACCTAGATTTGTTAGGGATAGACACCAAGGACAAGAAGACAAGCATTAATCAAAGAAGAGAGACAATGAGAACTAAGGTTGATATCTTGAGGAAATGAGTTTCGAGTATAACAAATACCTTTTCAGAGAGCAGTTGGCCAATCAATGTTAGAGGAAGGCAAAGATCCAATAAAGATGTCACCGAGAAAGAGTATGGCATGGCCTCTCTACTATATTGTCACGAGCCAAACCAGGGGCTAGTGTAGCAATGATATTAAGGCATTGGCGACATTAATGTCTAAAGAGGTTACATGGTTGGTAGCTCCGCATGATCATCTTGATGCACCACTAGGTCATTTTGAGAAAAAGATGAAAGTGGAACAAGAGCAGGGATAACAAGAGGGACAACAGATGATATGTCAAAGGGAGACTGAGTAGACCAGAAAATGAGACATTAACTGAAATAAAATATCCTAGAAGGGTAGGATATAAGTGTTGATAACACTTTTGTGATTGATATAACCTAGGAAGATTCCTGTGGTGAACCATGGCATGAGCTTGTCAATCCCCAGAGTCATTGTGAACAAAGCAAATTGAGCCAAATACACAAAGAGAAAATGTATAAAGTGGGGAATGAGGAAAGAGTCCAAAATGGGGAACCTGCTCATTTAAGACAGGAAGCAATGTAGTTGATAAGAAAGCAATTCGTTAGAACAAAATAGCTCTGAAAACATAGGGAACACTAGTGAGGTGCTATATAAATTTAACTAAAAATACAAACTCAAACGAGGAAATTGGATGCAGGACCAAAAACCGCATAATAACTATCCAACGACGCAAAATCTTAGAGGTAATTGTACCCTTGCACCCTACCGCACCAGAAAACTCTCCGTCTCCCTTATCCTGCGCACTCCGCCACTGCCACTGTGACCACAATGGCGGAAGTGCCCGAAACCAATCCCCCACCGCCGGACCCTCCAATCCCCTCCGCACCGGACGCCGCGGAGGAAACGGCTCCGCCGGCTGCAGCAACTGCATCGCAGCCGAGCACCGATATTGTCGCCCCTCCGGCGTTAGCTCCGAAGCGGCAACGCCGTCCGAGTGTCCGTCTTGGAGAGATTGGAGACCAAAAACAAAAAATGATATTAAAAGTTTCGTACCCGAGGTTAAGGAAAAACAAAAAAACGGTTGAATGTAGATTGTCATGCGTCACACAGATAAGAGAAGGAGAAATTAGCATATACTGTAAATTGAAGAACAAATGATAGATAAAACTCTTGTAATTTTCCACAAAAATCACAAACATGTGAAATTGAAAAGTAAAACATAAGAAGGATTAAACCTGAATTGGTGATTGAGAGAGGATATGTGACCTTGCAGTGAAGGATGAAACGTTACAGTGAAAGATGAGTGTGAAAATGAATGAAACGGTAAAGAGAGAAAGAGATAACGAAGAGAGAAAGAGAAGGTAGAAGAAAGTGAGAGAATGAAAAATGAAAATAAATAAAAATAAAATAAAAAAATTTAAAATTAATTATAATTATTGTGTCAGTTAAATTTTTTGTCATAAATTACATTTAATTTTTACGATTTTTATAACTCGCTGAAAATAAACCTCTAATAATTATGAAGTTTTTTGTAGTGACATTGGTAGCCATGACAAGTTTCCATTAGTCACCTTTCCATCAACCATCGTCGTCACTCTCTTGTCCAACTCCCCATTTTCTCACATTTAGCGTTACTAGTCATCCAATCAATTTTTCATTTGAAGAAAATTTGCGACATTATTATCACCATAACGACACTATCATCACCATAACGGTAAACAATTTCATTTTTATTACTATTGTTATTTAAAATATTCTATCTTAACATGATTCCAAGTGATGGATAAGCATGGTCACCTTGAATCAGCAAGGATGTACGAGGAAATAACAATTGTGATCCCGATGTCAAGTAAACAAAAAAGGGAGGCACATAGTTATCTATCGAAAATATCATCAATTAATTACGATTGTGGGAAATAGTTCTACTAGGAGTCAAACCCTGGTTGCTGGATTATACAATGTCATTACTATTTTAAGGTTTTACCTCAAAGGTTGATAAAGAAAATAAAAAATAAACAATTTTGCAATTCTAAAAAGACTAGTCAAACTAGAACACAAACTATCTTTTCCAGCATAACTAAACAACTTAATATAATATTCGACACAAGAGATCCTTTATTGATATTCGAGACATAAACAACCTAATATGAGATCTTATGAGTTATGCAGAAGAGATCTTTTATTAAGATTTGAGACATGATCGATAATAATCCAATATGAGATCCTACAATATTAATCACAATAATCATTTACATTGAGATCTGAGGCATAACCAACAATGATCTAATATAAGATCCTAGGAGATCAATCACAAGAGATCATTTATTGATATTCGAGATATAGTCGACAATAACCTAATTTAAGATCTTTTGACGAGAGTTATTGATATCATGATAATTTTTAAACAAAAGTTCAAGTTTTGGCATTTTTGCCTCGAAACTGAGAGACTATGTAATGTCCAATAACTTGCCTCAATCTTTTCCCAATCTTAGTGGTCAACATTTTGAAGAGAGTTACTGATATTATGACCATTTTTGCAAGAATTTAAGCACCAGTGTCTTCGCCTCAAGGTTGAAGGGTTGTATAGTATTCAATCATTGGCTTTGGTTTTTTCCCAATCCCTATGGTTGGTCACGAGTTTTCAAGGGGTGGATATCACATAATCTTAGGAATCTACCCTTTAATTAACAAATGATCACATGTGAGTTAAGCTATTTAGAGTACATAATATTATATTATTAGGGCCTAAGTCCATTAGGATTAGACTCGGGAAAAATTAACTCAATAAAAAAATATTTAGGATTAGGTTTAAGACAAATTTTTACTCACTCGGATGTAATCAAGATTCCTGCAATTATTTCTACAGACACTTCTAGATGATATTTAAATTCACACGCATGAGCATAATGATCCATATGACAAAAGCTAACAATTTTGTAATGGTATCATAACCAAAATCGCGATAGGACAAAAAAAAAAAAAAACAATTGAATTACCACCAATATTTATTTAAAGAATATATTAAAAAAGACCTTGAAAAGAATAAAAAGGTGGTCTCTGGAAAAAAAAATTGGATTTGAGAATCCGGTACGTGAAGGAAATATATTATAACCTACCACATCTATTCTAAAATAATTGTTTTAACTAAATGTGAAAAATTAAATATCTTTAAAATTGTTTATTTTATCTCTCAAAATTAACTAAAATAACATCTTATTATATATCTAACATAAATTTTTAAAATTAAATATTATTATTAAAAAAATATTATGCATTTTTAATATGTTTTGGTTCAACATAAATTATTTCTCTACTCTACATGTGAATAAATGCAATGGTAAAGAATAGTTACATTTGTGAATAATAAATTTAATATGCTTTTAAATATTCATTTAATTATTTATTACGATAACCAAAGTAAATTTTACAAATAACCAAATTAATAGTATATCAAAATAGTTTTTAAATAACTAAATTAAAAAATATACATCTAAAATAGTTTTAATTAATTTTTAGATAAAAAAATTTAAAATACATCTAAAATTATTTTAATTACTAAAAATACTTTTATTATTATTATTATTTGTTTTCTACAAGTTTTAAAATAATTTAGAGTCTAATATTTTTATATTTTTTATTTATCTAATTATTATTATCATTTATTTTGTGATAATCAAATTGCAAATACATTTGAGATACTTACGATATTTTTAACAATAATTACTAAATTGAAAGTACATTCAAACTAACTATTATTATATATTATAAAATTATTTTATTATCAAATATTATAAATACAATTAAGATAAGTATTATTTACTCATACCTACCAAAAATATTAAAATAAATATATAAATAAACTATGAAAAGATCAAATGAAGAATAGATAATATAAAATCTTGTGATTTAAAATATTATCATTTAATTATTTTTATGTTATTATTTCATTAAAAAAATAATTTAAACATAAAACGAATACAAAAAATTCCAATTAATAGCTTTTTAATGTTCAGGAAACAGAATATCATGGGTCCAGTGTGTGATTCTAAGCCCATTATCACATTTTTTAACACCCAATTTTAGGATTGTTGTGAGAAAAAGTAATGGAAGAGACATGGCAGGAGGCTGGTAAGCCAAATGCGTGGCGGAAGCTACAAAGAGACCTAATGACGTCAAGTTCTGGTCTACCGGTGGGCCTGCCGGCAAGGCTGTCAAGACCCAACACACCACTAGATTGCCTTGGGTAGTGTGATGAAGTCGTTTTGTCATGTTCTGTATTTTGTTGGATGACAGAGAGAAATGTTTTGTCTTGGACATCAATGGTTGTGGCTTACTTTAGAGCATGTAAGTCGAATAAGGATGGTAGGGTGTTTAAGGGCATTTTTAAATGTAGTTTTTAATTAGAATTATTTAAAAATAAAATTAAATATTTTATTCTAAGTTTCATATATGAGTTATTTATTCAAGTAATTTTCTTTTAATTTTAAACAATTTTTTCTATTTTCAAGTAATTTAAATATGAGACTCATAATAAAATATTCACTTATATTCCTAAACAACTTTTAGTAACAACTCTCGTTGAAGATGCTCTTAGAAGGACATGTCGATTAAGAACACGGTTTCCTTGACCGTTGGGTAAAATTAAATTAAATAAAAAATAATAAATTTGAATGTAAGTGCAATTGGAATAGTTTGTTTTTCAATTATTTTGAATGGTTAGTTTCTAGACGGTTATTACATTAATGAGTGGTTAAAATAAAATAGTTATTTTTAATTTATAAATATCAAATTATATCATTCAGTTTATAGATCCAAATAGCAGTTTGAATTTGAGAAACTCTCAACTCAAAATCCTGAAATATTGGGTTAATGGTCATATTTCATTATATGTTGTTTAACTTATTCAATCCTGACACCACTTAACAATATGATAATTGGAATCTCGAAGAAATTTCATTAGTTGCAAACAAAGTGTTGAAAGAGAAATATGAAAAGGATATCGCAGTGTTATACATGTTGTTGATGAATCCATCTTTGAGAAGATAGCAAGTGCTAAAACCTCAAAAGAAGTGTGAGATGTGTTAGAAAGAGCATACAAGTATGGTGATTCAAACTCGATACCTTAAAATTGGAGGCCAGTAGTCCAACCACTAAGTTACTACAATTTTTGGATAATAACTTACAAATAATTATATTTATATACAAGTAAATGTATATCACGTGTAAATATATAAATATAAAATATATAAATACAAATATATTTTTATATATTTATATTTTTATATATTTACCGATTGATATATCCGATCGGTAACTAATTGTTAACTTATCCACGGATATATCCGTCGAAATTTCGTCAGGAATCACTCAATAATTTTTATCGGTAATCACTCATTTTCTGATGATTACATATCCGATCGGTAATTAATGATTTTCTTGTAGTAAATAGACTTATATCTTGCATTGAGATCAATACAAAAATTGATAGGTCTCTTAATAATACTTGAGAATGATCTAATAGATTGACGGTCTTTTAATAATGTTTGAGAATGATAAAATAGATTGACGTTCAACTTGATGAGATTTATTAAAATAAGTCATTTATGCCAAAATTAATAATATTAAGGAGTTCATAACATTTTTTAAGGAGTTCTCACCATCTAATATTACCAACAAATCAATTATAGGAAACCTCACAATTAAGCTAACAAATAAAAAATTTGATTGTTCTTAATCAGTTTATGATCATGTAACTAAAATTATAATTTTGTAATAAAGTTGAAGTCCATGGGAATTAAAGTGAGTAGGTCATTTTTACTACGATTCATTTTAACCTTACTTCTTAATGAATTTGTCTAGTTCTAGGTGAATTGTAACACCTTAAAGGAAAAAAATAAACTTTTAGAAAATTAAGGCAATGTTGATTAAGGATGAAATGAAATTAAAGACTATGAAAGACAACTTTATCCATTTTATGACTCATGATGGAGCCAAAAATAGTAAAGAGTAAACTAGATAGAAAAGATAAGAGTAAAACTCAACTGAAGGTTAATAAGGTGAGTCCATAAGAATAAAAAGTGTTATTTTAAATAGAATTGTCACTGGAAGAAGAATTACTCTAAAATGAAGAAATGGTTTGAAACAAAATATTATATATATATAAAATTAAATTTTATTGAAATATCTAATAATTAGTAACTTGATTACGAAGGAATTACTTATATCACTTTTTTTTCAAGGATTATTTTAATTGAAACCATAAGAGCAATTTATTTTTATTTTTATTTTTATTTTTCTACGTGGGTAACGTAATCAAGGATATATAGATAATGTAGATTTGAACACTAGATGAATTAGAATTTAATTTTAAGATTGGAAACCATTTTTTTTATTCTTTCTTTAAAGAAATGTAATATCATGGATTTGTTACTTAAATAAAAGGTTTATATTATTTCAATTTTAACTAAAGTTCATGAGATCCTTATTTAATGTTGATTGAGTTGTTAATAATAAATAATAAACCTGAAGATAATTATGTTTAATTGTGACATCAAACACTAGGTCACTTGGTTAATGAAAAATGAAAATTTACCTTTATTAAATTTCAATGATAGATATGTGTTTATATGCATATTCACATTTCATCTTCTGCTATTAACACTATTCTATCACTTTTATTGATAATTTTTTAAGCTATTATTATTTATATCTTCTGGATGAAAAGTCTTTGATTAGTCAATATTCCAAAAGCTATTCATTAATGAGGTAGAAAATTATTTGATAAGAAAAGTATAAGTTAGAAGGTCTAGTAAAGATAGTGAATTTCATAGAAAATTTGATAAAAGTGAACAATGGCTAAATCTATTTGAAAAGTTCTTTAAAAATAAAAAGCATATATATTATGTCCAACACATTTTAACAAACGGAAGCTTTTAGAAAGTGAAATTATATTTGATAGATATGATTAATTTTATGTTAAATTATACTCCCTCTATTTTAAAATAAGTGTCATTTTTCTTAGAATTATTTTTAATGTATTTATAGTTCTCAAAAATTTAAGATTATATTTTTATTTTTTTACCAATTCTATCATTGTTATTGAAAAGTTTCAAATTAATCTATATACTCCTTTTATGAGACTGAATTGTAACTTGTATGTAACTACATTAATATATTAAATAAACTGCCTCTAACATGTATCAATTAATAATATAATATAAACAATTTATTATTTTCCATCTTTTCATCTAACTCGTCATTAATTAATAAAATTTGTTTAATTTTAAAAAATTACAATAAAATAACTAATAAATCTAATTAAAAAACAATATGGTTAAGTGAAAGTAGAAAGTTATAGTGATTTTAAATCATATGAAATTCTATTTTTCATATTTATGTTTGTAATGTAATAATTTTTTAAATTAAGATTTAATATATATATATATATATATATATATATTAAAATAATTTTGTTAAGAAGAAACAAAATTAATATAATTTAAAAAAATTAAGATTAAAAATCATGGAATGAATCTTATTTTTACTTAAATGATAAACCAATGTTTCATCTTTTAGGTTTCTCAAAAGAAAAAACTGACATTTGATTATAAAGAGAGAGAAATAAGTTATTTTGATTAAATATAATGATAAAATTTAATGTAAATTGTAAAAGTTAATGCGTATGTAGAAAAAATCTTAAAGGACATATATTTAAAAAGAGACAATATTATTGTACTCTTATCTTCACGAATATATTCATTAAAATAAAATTCTTAATAAGGCCTTTAAAACCCTTTATGAATTATGTATAGGAAGAAAAAATAAATCTTTATATTTCAGATTGTTTAACATAGATAAGAATGTAAGTGGGGTGAAATAATCATTAAAAGCATGGTTATTAATAGCACCGGTTTAATTGGTTAGACAGGAACCGGTCGGGCTTTCTAAAAATTAGATGAACAATAAATCGGTTAAAAATTAGATAAATAAATTAAAAATCGAAAAAATATGTGAAATTGGAAGGTTCAAGGAGTTATTTAGATTTTTTTCTTTTAAAGGATTAAATGATGATCTTTTATCCTATATTTTGTGTTAGTGATGATATTCTTTCTTTATAATATTTATTTTCATAATTATTATTATATCGTCATTTATTATCTTTGACAGACTGTTTTTGTTATTGTTTTTACTGTTCTCGTTGTATATTATTATTATTATTATTATTTATGAACTGTTCTCGTTGTATATTATTATTATTATTATTATTTATGAAAATATAAAAATATGTAAGAATTATAATTTATTAATTTTAAAAATTAATTTTATGAGTGAACAATAACTTAAATATAATGAGTTATCCTTGAGTTATATAACTATGTTTTGAAATAAAATATATAATTTGAAATTAGATATAATAAAAAAGATGGTGTAATATTTTTTTTTAATTATTTATAAGTTAGATGTAATTTTTTTTCTGCTGTACCCGTTGATCAAGCACGCGTGTAACTGTTTTATAATATATTTTTTTAATTTTTTTTTCTTTAATTATTTTATACTTTTAAATGTTTGATAATATATTTATTTATGGCATTTTTTATATATTCAACTCATTATTCTTATTATTATATAATATTTTTTAAATAATATTTATATTAGATTAGAATTATTATTATATTATAATAAACTTATTTTAAGTTTAATATATCATTATATTATTAAAATATTTTATTTTATTATATTCGTTTAACTCTTATTTAATTTTCGGCTAAACCTGAACTCATAATGACGATCCGATTTTAAAAATGATTAAAAAATTATTTATTTGTTATCTTTAAAAATTCTAAATGAATACAAATTTTATTATTCCAACCATAATAAAATAATAGTTGAATATCACAATACTGGTGAATTTAGTAGGGATTATGGAAAACATAGGATTACCTAGAACTTTATAGAATTTAATGAAAAAAATTATTACATATATTTTTGAAGTTAAATTCTAATTTTAATTAGAAATGAATCCTGCTTAATACTACTTATTTATATAATAAAAGAAAAAAAAAACATTAGTAAAATATGTTTTTTTCTCTCTAAAATATTTAAATATCATTTTTCGTATCGTTAAAAAAATAATATTTTTTTTCCACAAACTTTGAATTGCATAAGTTTTAAACATATTTCTTATTAAGGTAAGTCTTAGTCATCTAATTTTTTTTTCTTTATAAAATATTATCTAAACTATATAAAGAACTAAAATCACACACTTCAAAATTGATGCGAATTTTGTTCTTAAAAGACTAAAAATGTGATTTAATCTCTAAATAGGGAAAAGAAAATTACAAGTTGATACCCCAAATATTACATTTCAATATCAAATTAATATTTAAAAATATAATTTAAAGATAACATAATTATCTCACCTTTTAATGTTTAAAAACTAAACAAGAATTTTTCATTCTTTTAAAAACTAAAAATTAACATCTATTTATGTTTTCAGAAACTAAAATTACCATTAATTATCCTTAAAAAAAAACACAGGATTTTACTTTACAAGATGCAAAATAAAAAACCAAAATATCACTATATATTTTTTTCCAAAGAAAAAACAAGAAATAAGGCCTCCAATTTATTCACTCTCAACCGTCTTAACTATGACAATAACTTACCTCTCTTGATCGATTCACATGTTAGTTCGTATAACCTAACCCCATGATTTCCAAAAACAATAACAATATTACCACTCCTAATTCTTTTTTCTTCCACCCAGCATTCCAAACACTGGTCAAAACAAATCTTTTATAGCGATTCAGAACTGCGAAAATGAACTAAAACCATACCACAACCATGTATGATAATGTTTTTCATAATTTGTCCATTTTTAATTAAATTAGTATGATAAATTCTGAAAGAGACTCTTGAGAATTTGAGACCAGAGTCTTCTAATTCTAAGGCTTATAAATTACATGACAATTTCTTCGTTACTAGAGACAATTTAAAAAGATCGTTTTTTTTTTTAAATTAAAAAGCAAAATAAATAAAAAATATAAAGTAAGAAAATGAAGTTGCAGCTTCACATGGAGGATTGAGAAGTAACAGAGAGAATAAAATTCTTAATATTTTCACCCAAAGCGAGGGCCTTAGCCGGCTCAAAGATTTCCACGGCGTGGTACCCGCCCTCCACGAACCTCTTCTCCATGCGCACGCCACGCGCCTCCAAAATATTCGCCAACATTTTCTGCTTGTCTATCAAGGGATCTCCGCCGTACCCGTTGATCAAGCACGCGGGTAACCGTCCGATCTTGTCAGCATGAACGCCCTCCGCCACCGTCGGATTGCAGTACACGTGGTCTCGATCCACGCCCTCGGGCAGCGAGAGGGACCACATGAGGTCGTTAGCAGGTAACGGCAAAATGCGATCGTTAACGAGACGGAGTTCAGAGTCGGAGCGGTCGGACCCACTAAAATAGGGAACGTTCATGATGAGGCCGAGGATATTAAGAGGAGAGAGATCGTGGTCGAGCGCACGTAGGGCTGCGAAGTAGGCGATGTTTCCCCCGGCACTGCTTCCCATGAGGAAGCACTTGGAGAAGTCCACGTGGTCCCGGAGCCAGGGATGGGCCTGGGCCGGGTTGCGAGCCTGGGACTGGGCCCAGAGGAGGGCGTCGTGGGCGTCGTCGTAGGCTGCCGGGAGGCGGTGTTCGGGGCAGAGGCGGTAGTCGACGGAGGCGATGACGCCGGGGAGGGAAGCGGCGAGGGCGGCGCAGGAGTGGTGGAAGACGGAGGAGGAGGGGTGGTAGAGGATGAAGCCGCCGCCGTGGAAGTAGAAGAGGAGGGGGAGTTTTGCGGTAGGGTGAGGGTGCGGGAGGAAGAGGCGGAGAGAGGTGTTGGCAGCGGCGTTGAGGGGGATGTCGATGGAAAGAGAGGGTTCGGAAGTAGGGGGTGCCGGGCAAGGAGGAACCATTGGTATGACGTAGTTTCGGGTGAGGGAGCCGTCGGGATTGAGTTTAATTTTGAGGAACTCGAAAGGGTCCATGGCGGAGGAAAGTGGTGGTGGTGGTTCTGACATGGTCGTGGAGAGAAAAAAGATCTGACCCCAAAAAAAAAATAAAAAAAATACAACAACAACAGACAATGAATTACAAATGTGATTGTGGGGAGACGAAGAAGACGAAGCGGAGTGACTTAAATAGGTGAGATGGAAAAAAGTTACTTCAATTTTTATCGTGTAAACAAATTAAACAAATTATTAATATTATAATTTGACAATAAAATCATTTCTAATTTACTGTAAAATTGAGTTTAATCATTTATTCTTTTGATGATTAAGTTAGATAAGTCTTTAACAATTCATATTAAATTTTAACACAGTATTAAGCTTTATAACTACACAACAATTTTGCATGCACCAAGAATTAAATAAATAAATAATTGAAACTAAAAAAAACACTAGGCTCAGTTTAATGACAGAATATGGGTTTGAATAATTTGCATAAAAATGTATATTTATTTTTTATTTTTTTTATAAAACATTATTAAAAAAATATAGTTTTATAAATTTTAATTTCTAACTTTAAAATGTAAATGGAGTTACATATAATTTTAAAAAACGTGTTGAATTCTGGGTTATTTACATATTCATCTCACAGATTTTCTAAAGTTGAAAAAACTAAAATTTATCTTATATATCTTTTAAAAATAAATTTATGAGATATTAGATTTTAAAAACAATAATAATTTACCTTATTTATATTATTATAACGAATATAATAAACATGAAAATATATAATTTTTTGTTTTAAACGAAACAAGTTATATAAATTTTAAATTTTTGATAAAAGTGAAAAATATATTATTAAAAAATATTTTTAATAAGTTGAATAAAAAGTATAAAATAATTTTATATTATATTATTCAACTATATATATTTGACAAGTAGGACATTCATTTATATAAAAAATATTGTAAAAGGTATATCTATTATGACTTTTTATTGATATTTTATTATATATATATATATATATATATATATATATATATATATTGAATTAATGTTTGAAAATATCATTATATAATAATTATTTACACATATACCCATATGTATTAGATGAGTTTGGTGAGTTGGCAAGGTCACCGAGTATACAGTCAGTTAATTTATTTAAACCATTTTAAATAAATTATTATTTTTTAAAATAACAAAAATAATGTTTGGAAAATAAATTCTTCTGCATACGCTAGTTCCTTTTTTATTTTATTTGATTCAAGAAAAATAAACAATAATGAAAGTATTTTTTTATAATAATTAATACTGATAGACTAGTAGTTGGTACTAGTTACCATGTTAGTTACAATTTATTAAAATGATGTGATATTTTAGGTGCAACCATTTATTTGGGGTCAAGACTGACTCATGTTTTTTTTTTTTTTTCTAAAAAAAAAAATCTTACATCTATTTTGAAAGCATTCTTATCTTTATAACAAAATGTTTTATGAAATGGAAATAAACATGTGGTTGCCCACAATAGTTAATAGTATTATCTTGTGTAAATCACGTTAATTAATAATTTTTTAATTTTTTTTATTAGTAAAAAATTAATAGGTTCTAAATTTTAATTTAAGTTCAAAAAGAAAAACTAATTTTTATCTTGTGTAAACAAATTTTTTTTTATACTTTTAGCGAATTTGTTATTATTAAAGTAAATTATTAATAAAAATTATTTAAAAATAAAAATAGATATTTATCATGTATCTCATATGAATTATTTAAAACCAGTCATATAAATAATTTTAATCAATTTTTAAGTAACTCATTTTTTATAAAATTGATTTTACTAAATTGATAGAAGTGTACAAAGTTTGAGTGAAGAAATAGATAAATTAAATTGAGTTATGATTTTAATTGTGAGGTTCAACTAAAGAGATTAGTATATTAAATTTTGAGTTGTAGTTTTAAAATGATTAACCATTAAAAAGAGTATAAATCTAGTGGTAAAAGACATTTAACATTTAAGTCAATTTTTAAACGAGAAAGTAATATATTTTATAATAAGTGAATATTTCTAAATGGAACATTGGGACCTACATGAGGTCGAGAATAGAGTATTTGTTTTACGGTTATTCTTTAATCCTTGAGTGAGATTATGTTCTGCTACTTGTATAAGTCTTATATTACTTAGAGCCGATGTTAAGTATATTATTTATATGTACTATCTTCTCTTAACTCATTGAGACATATTTTATGAATAAAATTATAGCAGACTAAACAATACGTCAAACATGTTAATAAATCTTAACGATGATATCATACCGAACATGAGACTAGGAATTCTCATCCTTAAAAGGAACAAAAATATTTATTTTATTCTTAAACAACTTTTATTAACAATATTTTTTCTTGCACACTCTTTTAAAATCGCTTTTTGAGATAAAACAATTTTCTTTTTAACATGCATAACTTTTTTAATACTTTAAAACTTCCCCTTAAAATCATCAAAACTTCAGCCTAATCCTTGTTGTTTTTGGCCTTTTCTTCTCTTCTCAAGACCTTTTAAGCATCTACTCCAACTCGTTGAATATATAATGCTTCAACATCTTTGCAATTTTATACTTCTTCTACATTCTAAATAAATACCATGAAAATAATAATAACATACAAATATTGGATAAATAGATGAAAACTATGCTTAATGGGTAGTGGATGAAAAATGACAACAAGTATAATTGATCTTCATAACACTTTGTAATAAGTTTTGAGTTCTTTAATATTGATTTTGGACGTATTAAGGAGTGAATTGGCCATTCGAAATGATTATTTCACTATAAAGGAGTTTGCAAAAATATTTGTCCTTTATACAATGAGAAAATTTTATAATGGTAAGGAAGTGAGTTAATTTAATAAAAGGGTAAAAATAGTTTAATTATATTAAAATTGATTTTTTATTAATTAAATTTAAAGGGTTATAAATAAAACATTTAATTATTCAAATTTTATTTATATAAAATCACCATTTCTAGACTTTCAATTATTAATTACAATCATTTTCAATATTTGAAATCGTCATAATTGGGCAATTGCATGTAGCTTGTTACGAGAAAAAAAAAAAGAATTTATGCTAAGATCCTAATGGTATGTGGTTTGATAATTAGGGTTTATTGTGAAGTTCGGGCATTAGTGTACACTTGTTTTTTAAACTTAATTTGGATAATTAGATTTCCAATTAAGGAGAGCTAGCTTAATTTCTTTTAGTAATTTAGTGTAGATTATCTTAATAGAATAGTATTTTGGATTTAGCTTGAATATTTTATATTGAACTTGAAATTTGTTAATTTACATTATTTTTTGAATTGTTGAAATCAATATTAAAAAAGTTGTAATTAGTTGTTAGATTCTAATTTGATTTAAGTTTCTCATGAATTGATATTGGGCTGAATTAGTTTTTATTGTTGGACGGTAGGGTTGAATTCGATTTAACTATATTTTTTAGAATAAATTATTCCGTAAATTATGCAATTTTGGAATTTATATATATTAATTTAGTGGATTTAATTTTGTTCAACAGAATTAAGATATCGTTAAAATCACTTTTAGTGATATAGGTTTTTTATAAATTTTGCTTAATGAAAAATTATGGAAAATGAATATGATAAGTTTCTAAATAAAATCTGTATAATGCTTTTCAATTTCACTCAATCAAGTTCCTAAAATAAAAATACTTTAAAAAATATATCTTTAATTAAATAAAATTAATTATTATTATATATTTGTATTTAAAATGTTAAATTGATTATATGATATTTTTAAATTAATATATATATATATATATATATATATATATATATATATGGAGGTATTATTATTTGTTGACTTATAATCAGTGGCAGATTTTTATTAATAATTTTGAGTAAGATAAATAATATATTATCAATAAATAATAAATAAATATAAAAAGATAAAATAATATGAAAATATAAAATTTATAAATATATAAACAAATATATTTAATGATAATTAAGTTTAGGGGAATAAAAATCATAAAATTGCTTGAAGTAATTTTTTATTGGAGGAATCTTATGAGATATGATAAGTGCTTAAATTTATTTATTTTTTATAGTTGCTTCAACAAACAACTAAAAAACAATAGCATCTCCAAAGGGAGTTGTTACCAGTTGTTTTGGAATAAAACTAAATATTTTATTTATAGGTCTCACATCCGAGTTGTTTAAAAATGAAGAAAATTGCTTAAAATTGGAAGAAAGTTGCTTGGATAAGTAACTCGACCAAGTTTTAAGCAACTCAACAATGAGACTCGTAATAAAATATTTAATTTTATTCTTAAGTAATTATTGTTAAAAACTCTATTTGAAAATGCATAAATCAAAATAAATAAGGAGAGAGAATAATTTTTTTAAAATTTATTAAGAAAAATTCTAATGAAGTAAAATCAATAGTAAATTGTTTAATAATGATGTGATATCATAAATCTTTCTTTTACATTTTTTTAAGATAAGATAAGAAGCAACTTATTGGAGATGCCCTTAATTACTTGATATTAGATAAATGTGTTGTAATAAGATCATTTGAGGTGACTATATTATTAAAGATATCAAAACCGACTACTCAACCTTACCCATCTTAGTTTAGTCCTACCTAAGATATAATGATTTAATAAATAAATTATAAAATAATATATCTATTCAATCTTAAAATAAGAATTAAAAACTTATTCTTTATTATTATTATTGTTTTAGTAATTTATTTATTTAAAATAATAATTAATCTTACTAATCATATATTTGAATAATTGGTTATTAGAAATTTATTAAAATATTTACTTTTAGAATAAATGAATATTTTATCAAATTAATTTATAAAATGTTTATTTTTATTTAAAAATTATTATTATTCTATAAAACGGGCCAACCATTAAGTCAATATGTTATTTTGGTCTAAATCAAAATAAGTCTGATTTAATTTAGACCACAAAATAACCAACCTATTTTATGAACATATCAGCTATGCTTATCAATCTAAATCTATTTTGAGATACATATTAAATACTAGATAGTGGAAGAGAATGATTGAAATAAATGATATTATAGGAGACAAATATAAAAAATGATAAACTAAGTAAAACATAATAGAAATTTAGTTATTTTTTTATTTTACACTTTTTAGTTTTTTTCTTTTATGTAAACATCATTATCCCTGTGTTACTTGACGTTAATTGTATTTTGAGGATACATTATTTATTTTAATAGGTTATATTTAAGGTATACGAGTAAGTCGTAGTAGTCTTTTAAAAGAGTATTTTTGAAAGAAAAAAAAAGAAAAAAAACATTATATATATATATATATATATATATATATATAAAGTAGAAACCACCAAATTTAAAAAGATTAAATAAATTTGTATATCCCTGTAAAAAAATGATTTATATTAAAGAAATGGTACCAATACATCTTCTTTTGAAGGAGTGCAAAAAGAAACTTTATTCTTTGGGTTCAATTGGTATTGTTGAATGAATCCATGGGAAAGACTCGAGCGAATAAATTGCATGACCTTACCCGGCCCAATAAGAGCGAGCCTCAGGGAGTAAGTAAGTAAATAAAAACATAAATGTTTTTATTTGAAAACAAATAAAAAATTAAAGAATAAAGGTGGTAATTTCTTAAGTGGATCAAAAGTTGATTGATACTGATGCGTGAGATCTGAATTGGTATGGCATTTATGATTGTGCAGTGCAACCACTAAATAATAGGTAATAAATACACTACGTTACTTGCAAGTACATGGACCACTTCACTGCTTGTTTTATTTATTTCACACAACAACCATTCTCCAAACTGTAACGCATCATTCACCTTGTAAGAGTTATCTTCTATTAATTTTTCGTCATATTAGTTGGAAGTGTCAAGAGTTAAAATGTTTATATGGAAATTGTGTTTATTGGATCAAGTTATATGGTAAACAAGGCTTAGGTATTGGGTAATTACTATATATTTTATATATTCAGTGAAGAGTCTAGGAGATAGAATGTAAAAGTGAACGAACCCATCTCATGTGGGATTGATTCATTACGACTGAGTTAAAAATATGACCAACAATAAATTTTAAAAACTTTGACTTAATTCATTATACCAGTATATTCATTCATTAACTCATTTATTTTATTATTCTTTTTAATAAGTATGATTGAATCACCATATTAAAATGTACTGACATGATAACACGATGAATATTACAATGTAATTCAAGTACAGTATAACAATTGTAATGAAACAATAAAAGTTATAATATAACTAAAACGTTATAGTACGATAACACGTCAAACATTATAATGTAATTAAAATACAAAATTGAAATGCGATAACGTTATAACAAAATTAAAAAATATATACAGTAATGTAATATATGATAAATAAATGATAAACAATTTAAGTATAACGACAAACATAACGATCTAAAGGACAATTGATAATCAATTTAGAACGAAGATTTAGTTTACATTAATAACTTAAAATAAAGATAAAATTATAAATAATATCAGTTAAAATTACTAAATTATTATAAATATTTTTAAAATTTAAATAAGTCACAAATTAATGTACCGTCATCCAACTCGAATCCCTTAATTCGATTCAGTTTTAACCTATTATCAATACAAATAAAATCTAACCCGATTCAAATATCTGGTGAGCTAGGTTGGCTTATAGAACCCATATTTACACCAGGTACAGGCTCTGTTACTCACGCCTACCTCTCTATGATTACAAATGTCCTGCCACTGCTTCGGATTCGCATTGCTTAATGGCTCCCAAAATAGCTGAAGTCAAGCTTTTGCAGCATTGCAAGTTAGGCTCCTCAAGTAGGAATCCAAAGATATAAACCCAAAAGTCAGATTATAGTACGTCCTTACCTAACTGCCATATTTCCACCATTTTCCCACTTTGATCACATGGTTTTCTTGAAACCAAAGTACAAATTCTGCAGTTCAGCTTATCATGTTAATACCAAGAACATTATTCATTTGATCCACAAGTAACAATAACTTGAGGATATGTTTGTGTGAAAGTTAAGTCAGATTATTTTAAAAAGGTACATGTAACAGATTGTTAAATGTTAGATAAGGTCAATGATTTCAAGTATTGAAAGCTTATCAAGAAGCATGAAGAAGATGCATTTTACAGTAATCACAAAAACCGCACAGTATTGCACTTACATATCTGCATAATGATCATCCAATTCGGAGCTGAGACAATATACTGTCATGTCAAATGTAGTGTAAAGTTGAAAACACCATTCCAGTCCCTTGTTCTGGAAGGATATTACGACATCAATCCTAGAAGGTAAAATTACTGATTTGGTCGCTCATAAAACAAAATTTACCTTTTATCCTTACACTTAAAAAAAAACATTTATTTTAGTCTTTTATTCACACTTTTTTTAATCGTATTTGATTCCTTTGACTTTAGACAATAAAGACTAAAAGAAGTTAAAATTAATATGCAAGAAAACTAAAAGATTAAAATGGTATTAATAAGTACTTTTAAGTAAAAAAAAAACTAAAAAGTAAAGCTTTTACGATTAACCTTCCCAAATTTGTTTTCATTAGTTCATCAATTGCTAATAATACAAAATAAATTTAAATCATTTCCATATATTATGCAATTAGTGATCATTTCAGACACTCTGCAAAACAGATTGGCAATTGCTTAAATAACTTTACTGTACAAAAACTGTGCTATCCAATTTATTCAGCAATTCAGGTATGAGTCCTAAATCTGCAGGTCATCCATGGTATGAGAGTGAGAGCAGTCCATTCAGAAATAGAATTACCAGGTGCAAACTTTCACGAACTCTTTTGTAGGATTGGGGAACTGGGAAAGTAGACATTGCTATGTCATTATGGAATATTAACAACAAAAAATGCATTTCTGGGCTTCTAATAAAGAGCCAGTAATATATGTGTTTTTTTTTTTCATGGATAATTCTTTTTTCATGCCTTTTTCAATAAAAATCTTCCAAAGGGATATGCTTAGTAGTGAAAGGCTTGTCGTAGGTCCGAGCACTGATGATAAAATGATATTCTTCTTCTTTCATTTCCAGGGACAGTGGAGCCTCCACTTAGCTAAAAGTAACATCATAATTACTTGTAAAAGACGCGAATGGGGCCAGGATATGTTCGCTCTGCAACTGAAATCCATACTACCAACAATGGCAAAATGTGCATATAACTTTATAAAGTTGAACAACCAAAAAGATAAATAAATCTTCCTTGGGTCCTTTGCAGGCACTAAGGTCATGAAAATTGAAAATCTTACACAGTTACAGTCAGAAGGCACTAGAGAAATATATTCTTTTAAAAGGGGCTAAGCCAAATGGCTTCAAAAGTAAAAGAAATGTTCCCTCAACTTTAAAAGACCCGAAATTTCCTGAAATTCACCAACTTTGTATAGGCAAATACACTTATTCGTGCCAGAATCATGCACCCAAAAAGTTCTTTCAGATTAAAAAGCAAGAACCAGGTCAGAATAAACCAGCTATCTGATGGACAGAAAAAAGAACCAGAACAAAACTAAAAACAGAAAGGCAAGCAATGGATTTATGTAACAAGGCTTGTAGCTCGCTATTTTCCCCCTTTCATTTCTGCATTAGTTTCTACAAATAGTGATCAAGAAAATCAATTAGAGTTTACCTAACACTAAAACCATACACTCTTACAAGTTAATGATCATGACAAGAACAACCACAGACCCACTCATTCACAACTGCACACACTCACCGAGCCTTCTTCCGCCCCTTGAACAGAAAATTTGACGGCGGTGATGGTGAGAACTCGAACGGCAAGTGTGGTGGCTCAGCTTCCCCATTGAGCATTCCCACAACCTCCTTCATTGAAGGCCTCTTCCCGGGGCACCTCTGCAAACACAACAAGGCAATGGTGATGCAGAGCAGCGCTTGCTCCTTATCCAATGAATGAATAGAAGTGTCAACAAGATCTAAAAGCCTCCCATTGTGAGCAAGCTGCCTGGCCCAGGAAATCAAATTGGCCCTCTCAAACTCCGAAATGGGCGATGCTGTCACCTGCAGCGGCCGCCTCCCCGCCACCAGAACCAAAAGTAAAACCCCAAAACTGTACACATCACACTTCTCAGACAATTGTCCCCCTCCACCATACTCAGGAGCAATGTAACACACAGTCCCCCTCATACTAGGGGTGCTACTGATCCCACCACTCTTTGGCACATCCCCACTAACCCCCCAATCCTGGCTATTCCTCCTCCCATTGTTCCTTATCTCCCCACTCAACCCATCCAACCACCAATCAATACTCCCTCTACTCCCTTTGCTCTTCCTCTTCTTCTTCTGCTCCACCCCTTCCTCCTCCCTCTGCCACCACTCCAAACCCCTCTTCTTCTTCCTACTCTTTTTAGATAACTCCTCACAAAACTCCTCCTTCCACCACTCCCTCGGCTTCCGATTCTTCTTCACCTTACTCTTCACCCTCTCCTCATCAAGAGAAGCCCACCAATCCAACCTCTTCCTCTCCTTCTTCTTACTCTTATTCTTTTCATTCCCATTCACATTCTCATTCTCCACCTTAGGAGAAGAAGATGAACACGAATCAACCCATTCACTCTTGGGCCTCTCTTTCTTTATCTCACTCCCGATCCACTCCATCACATAATCCTTCACCCTCCCCGATTCCCCCCCTCCCCCACTCTCCTGCCTCCACCACCAATCCCTCCCTGAACCACCACCACCACCACCACCACCCTTCTTCTTATTCAAATTTACATTCTCACTATCAACACTCTCGAAACACCCATCCGACACCACACTCAACTTATCACCCCCCACCGGCGACGCGTCAGAGTAATCCGCAACCCTCACCGGACAACTCTCCGGCGACCGGTCAACATCCACCACACTCACACTCTCTCCCTCCTCCGCCACCCCAAACTCCTCAATCCCAATCTCTACAACCCCTTCCTTCTTCTTCTCCTCCACCATTCCCAGATCCTCCACCGCCTTAACCCTAGCAAGCCCAAAATCCCCAATCTTCGCCCTAAAATCATCATCCAGCAACACATTACTCGGCTTTATATCCCCATGAATCACCGGAGGCTCACACACGTGGTGCAAATACTCCAACCCCATCGCCACCGAAACGGCGACGTCGAACCTCTTCCCCCAGCACATCAGCTCCGGACACCGACGGTCCAGCAGCGCGTCCTGCAAACTGCGGTTCGGCATCAGCTCGTAGACCAGGACCAGCTTCCGACCGCACCGGTCCGAAGAAAAACCCAGCAACGAAATAACAAACGGCGACTTCAGATTCGAACACAGCGTCAACTCGTTATGGAACTCTCTCTCCCCCTGGATTGACCCGGGCGAGTCCATCACTTTCAACGCCACGGTCTGGCCAGAAGGCAGAGTCGCTTTATGAACCGAACCAAACCCGCCGTGCCCGAGCTTCGTCGACGGCGAGAACGAGTTCGTCGCTCGGCGCAGAACGGAGTACGAGAAACGGCGCTGGTTGTGCTCAAACGGCGCCGTTCGGTTGTAGGAGAGTTTGCGGTAGATGAAGACCGTGACGGAGACGATTATCGCCGCTAGGAAGATCGCGCCGCTGATTGCGCCGCAAAGAATGATCTCGCGGCGATGAGTGACGGCGGGAGAGGAGGGCGGTGACGGCGGACGCGATGGCATGGTTGTAATAACGAAGAGAGGAAAATGAAAATGTTAATTGTGATGTTAACCATTCATGAGAAAGAGAGAGAGAAAAGAGTAAGAGAAAGTGAATAGGGAGTTTTGTGTTGAGAAGAAGAAGTAGCAGACAGAACACTGAGGAGTGACTTGTTTGGTTTCCTTGGCCAACCAATATTGTGATAGATAAATGAAATAAATAAATAAATAATAAAAATAAATTTATCTTAAGATTCCCTTTTTCTTTTCCTTTTTCCTAATAATAATAAAATATAAATGCATGTATTAGAAGGTGAGTGAGGGTGATAGTTAAGCTATTTAAGTAATGTGAAGAAAAAAGTTCAAACCTTTCATAAGTGCTTTGTTTGGAGGGAGTTGCAATTTGCACTGTGTTTGTGGACCTGCCTCCTACCAAATGCTGTAAACATATTTTAGCTAAAATTGGTAAAAAATCTAAACCAAACAATGTGCTCAAAATATTTGGAGTTAATTCAGTACGAAATTATTAACTTCAACTTACTTTTTTCTCATCTGGCTTAATTAATATTTTTTATCTACCGAAAAGTTATTCTGCTTTTTTTAAATATACAAACTTTTAGGTTCAGCCTTTAATTATATTCTTAAAAAAAATTATCTGTCCAACATGGTACGTTATCTAATAAATTATCAAAAAATGAAAAACAATAAATTGCATGACCTGCGTTGAATTTATGATACACTATTTCGTGATAATGAAGAACTGAAGGAAAACACAGATCAAATCAGGTTCAAAATTATTCTTGTCTCCTGCTGAACTAGTCAATGGAAAACTCAGAAAATCATGAGAGAAAATAAAAACTAGGTCAAATTTGCTAGAGTTCATAAAATATCAACAGAAAAAACACTATTTATTTATTTTTATCGAAAATCCAATGAAAAATACTACTTACTTCATTCATTATTGATATTAATTAGTATTTTTTTTACTAAAATACTCAAATCTAAAAATAACTTGAATTATTTGTTTAAAAAATTCTTTATAAAATTAAATAAACTAAGACAAATAAAGTTTCTGTATGATGTGTTATTTTATGTGTTACTTAGTATATTATTAAAATTATCACCTATATATATATATATATATATATATATATATATAATGAAATGTCTTTATTTTAATATGTTTAGTTGGTGTGTTGGTGTCATAATTAAAGATATTAAAGAAGAGGGCAAAGGCTTACCTTACCAGCCATATTAGAGAACTAGATTTTCATGCTTATATATAATTAAAAAACCAAACTTTAAAATATTATTTGACATTGTGAGTGGTGTAATATTTGGATGAATTTTCTTTAGGGTATGAAATCACAATACTGAGAAATAATTTATTCATCCATGTAATTATTACAATGTTAGTCATTGTATTTTAGAAAATTCATAATTTTAGTTTATCATAAATTTTATATTAAATTTAAATAAAATAAATGAAATAATTACATAAATATTATAGGTGTAAAAAGAATGTTGAATTGAATGATGGGTGCTGGAACTTGTGTTGGGAGTGACGTTGGTTTTGATGAAAAAAGAAAAGTCAACGAGAAAATCCCGTTGAAAAGCGAGTGAATCACGTTTGGGGTGAACAACACGAGCACAGGAAGTGCGCGTGGGCTTGGCGAACGGTCCCTCATGTCACGTGCATCAAGCGCCACCCATGTTCCACACACTCACAAGTTCTTGTATCTCTAACCTACCTTTTGTTGGAACGTGAATTGAAATTGAATAAGTAAAAAATAAAAAAAATTTGTTCAATTCATATTTTATTTTTTCAAAAAAATGACTTTATCCTATTTTTGAAATAAATTGTTGGTCTTTTTATAAAATCATTTATAAAATTTATACAACTTTAAATATTTTTCTTTATTAAATATTATGAATATTTAAAAAGCAATTATATTTCACAACCAAAACAGTGAAATGAGATAAACCAGATGGTTGAGTTACAAGAATGGAATGCTTCAGCAAAAAGCAATGTCCATGGCTTGACTCAGTCACTGTGTGTGAATCAGTCTGAGCTCAGAAAAAGGGTTGACTTTTCAACAATGTATCTGGATGCTGTTCATTTTCCTTTTTCTAACACCTTTTTCACTCCTTACTGTTAAGTTATCATTTTTAGATAAATATATTAATATTATTTAATTTTGATAATAACAAACAATCTCTTTCATGTGTGGACCATCAAGTTCACTGGCAATATAGTCAGTGATAAATAAATAAATATTATTTTACTTAAAATCGTATTATTAAAATTAATTTTTATAAAGAGATATTATTTAAAAAAATATCTCTATAAACTAAGAAAAGTATATATAAATTATTATTCATTATAAATAATACGAGTCTATGTATAATTCTTAATTTAAATATTATTAATAAATGAGCAGTTTTCAAGTGTGTACTATATTATGTTGATTCATTATTATAAAAATCGCTTCCACCGTTTTAGTATATGTAACGCAAATTATTAAACTGCTTCATATGCATGTAAAATCCTGGTCTGCTCTACCTGAGTTTTTTTATATTAAATTGCTTCAAAACGTTTAATGGTTTAGTAATTTCCAAAATTTTATCAAAAGAAACAATATTTAATCAGATTTTATTTATTTTTTGACTGATTTAGATTAATATTTTTTAATTGTCTTGACAGAAAGAACTATATATATATATATATATATATATATATATATATATATATAATATTTTAGATTAAATGATTTCGTTATTAAAGTTATTTTATATGAACATATAATATTTTAATATTTTATTTGGATTTTATATTTTACACAATTATTAAAAATTATTATGATTTTACAGGTTTGATATAAATTTACCTCAAATTAGATAATATAATATTATTGTAACCTAATTATTTTTAAATATAATGTATTTAGTTTGTTTGAGTATATATTTTTTTATTTATATGATTAAATGAATGAATTGTTAGATGAATGTAATTATTTAGAATAATATATCTTGTTTTTTTTTTAAATCTCGTAAAATGCTTAGAAATGAGTAGTGTGTCTCGAGACTTGCTTATGGCTTTTTACTTAATATAATATTTACTTCTTCTTTTTTCATTTAAACAACAAAACCTTTAACGAAATTGGTTTTCATTTTCCTTAGAAAAAAAATTATTCAAGTGAAAATCTTCAAATAGAATGAAGTTTAAGTTTTGATGTATTTTTTCTAAGTGAGATATTAATGGCTAAAATAAGAGAATTTGTTCAACTCTTATGATGTTATTTTTCTTAAGCGAAAAATATTTAAAAAAAAATGAAAGGAATTTAGTTCAAGAAAAAATAATTCATTCCAGTAACCATTTCCTTTTCTTTATGAATTTTGTATTGTCTTTTTGAAATATATAATATATTATATATATTATAGATGATAAAATGAGTTAGATTTGGCAAGTTGGTCCATCGGTCTTCTAAAATGAAAGGGTGAGTTGGTGGTTTTATCTCATCACTCCATTTTGGTTTGTCTCGTTGAGTCAGTTAATTTGGTGGATCAAAGACAAAATGAGGTGTGTTAGCTCGTTGACAAACTTAAAAAAAATATTTATATATTAAAATTAAAATAACAAAAATTATAATTAAATATATTTTTTTTATTATATTATTGAAATATGTAAATATATTATAATAGTATAATTTAAATTATAAAAATTAATCAATTAAGTTTAAGTTATTTATTATAATTAATTATTTTAACACATCAATTATAAATTTTTTAATTTATTTATTAATATTAATTAAAAATAAAAACTTAAAAATTATTCATATCATTAAATATTAAAAAAAATGCATATAATTTTTTTATATAAAAATAAAGTTATCCATCAACCTACCCTTTGACTGGAGTGGGTTGAAGTTTCTAACCCGTCATAACTATAATGGGTTAACCTACCATGTTTCAATTTTGGTAGGCTAGAGGCATGACAGGGCATAACGGGACAGATTGACCAGTTTTGTCATCCTTAATGTATATGTATGTTGCATGAGATAATTTGAGAATTGGAGACCCCAACACTAGTTCAAGCCTTCAGGGATCAACAATTATGAAAATCAAGTATAACTTTAATTTGTTTTATAGTTGTAGAATGACACAAATAAGATAGAGTCAAGTTACAATTTTGCCTGACACAAGTTTCACAACCTCCTAACAACTTAAACGAGCTTCATAAAATTGACATAATAAAAAGATAAGATGAAAACTAGGTCAACTGACACTTCAGACCACCACGACACCCCAATAGAGGGAACCATGGATGGGAAAACATATTCAATTTCGTCCTTTATTTATTTAGCCATACCAAGTGTTTGCGGAGCCTATGCCTAAACACCACCATCCATACATGATTTTGTGGAATCCCCTTATTTTGCACAATATGACAATCAACCAGGCTTATCTTCAATGTCATATAAGGGTTATGATAGCCCAACCTAAGATGAACACCCATCTTTAAAACAAGAACCATCACTACAAGAACCACAACGAAGAAATCTAACATGTAATAGGCGTTGTCCTCATTGTGGCATTAGACACCATTATGAATATTGAACATCATGTAACACCTATCCATTATGATAAAGTTTAATATTATGATTTACATCATAAAGTATTTAACGTTATTATGATTTACATCATAAATTATGGTATTGTATTGTGTTTTTGACAAGATTTTTTGCACCTCACTAATTTTCTTTAGCTTCGTAAATGGTTCAATTGTGTTCATGCACATAAAAATTATACGAATTTATGGTTGCGAAGTATTTAAATCATTAGTTTAACCTTCGTTAGGGCACACAGAGTCACCCTCATCATAAGCGTTGGAAGTTATATTTATGCAAAGACTTATGATGTACCTATGTTTGTTAGTAAAAAAATAGGCTAAAACACCTAATTGGACCTTCATAATGACTCTTCTTCATAGTAAAATTCCTAACCAATATATCACAATGTTCCTT